AGAGCCAGAAGGTGTAATTCATTAAGCTGTGCATTTGTTTGTATGGGTTTTTTGTACCTGTGTTTTATTTTATAATACAATAAAAAGATTTTTCTAAATTTGCTATCTTCTTACTTAGACTGGCATTTCTTTATGACTGAGTTTGGTCTTTTCATTAGTTAATTGGCTATTTGTGTTTTTTTCTCACTGAAACTGTTCAAACTCTAGCCATTTTTCTGTTGAGTTAACTGCCTTATTTCTCACTGTGCTGAGTCCTTTGGAAGTTCAGGAAACTGGCGCTTTTCAGTTTGTGTTACTGTTTGTTGAGAAGAATGGATCTCCCTTCGATTTCCCACCTTACACCGTGTTCTGCTGCAGTTGGTGCTCACGGAGTTAAGCAGCACTGTGGAAGTGAATGAGTAAGGTGATAAAAATGTCCAGAATTTCTGATTCCTCCCTTTTACAGGTTGGGGTGAGGGCAGAGAGGGGAGCTGAGGAGTCCTGAAATGTCCCAAAGAGAGGCGCTTCCAGGCTGGGGTGTGGGCGAGCGAAGGGGTGTAAACACCAGGGCCGGCACTTCGGGACTGAGTTGGTGAGGACCAAAGCTCCCCTTGTGCAGTGCCCACAGCAGCAAGTGTGTGCTAAGGCCTCTGCGTACATGACCTTATGTGACCCTTACAGGGCCTGGGAGGTAGGTACTATTTACTGGCACTGAGGAAACCCCCAAAGAGAGGAAGTAACAATAAAAAGTGGTCATGGCTGGGATGAAAACTGCTGTGGCTTTACTAAGGCCCCATGGTTTAAACCTTTCTTATTATACTGCTTGAGGCAAAAAGGTTCACTAGACAAATGCGTGTGGAGTCCTACTATGTGCCAGGCCTTGTTCTAGATGTCGGGCTGGTCTCAATGGATTAGAACAACTGTGTTGGAAACTAAATGACCAACTAAAGTACGTTCACCTAGAAAAATGATGATCCACATCTGAAACGACATGGTAATAGTATATTTACTGCCACAAAGACACACTCACATTATATTTCAAATGAAAAAGATTACAAACATATGCAGAAGAATATAACTGAGGTCAAAGTCATACACCACACACACCTCAACACCCTAAAAATGAAGACTAACACTAGATGGAAATGTATAAAACGCTGGCTGAGTTCTCTGAGTGGGGAGATTGTAGGTGATTTTCATTTTCTCTTTTTTATACTTGGGAATTTCCTACAATACATGTTACTTGTAGAATAAACTACCTCAGAAAAGAAAATAATCTTGGTGGGGACAAGTGAGCCGGTGCTGGGGAGGTGTGGGTATCGGGGCCCGAGGGAGGATGAGGAGGCAGGAGAAGAGGGACTCGAACCCCGGGCTGAGGACTGAGAGATCGGCTGCACCACCAGCGCTGCTGAAGCAAGAGAAAAACAAGCGTGAGCCTTGGGACCTTGACGTGTCAGTCAAAAGCCTACATCACTATGCGCTAGAGCGTCAGGAGGGCTGAAGCTCAGCGTCCAGCTCGGGGCTCTGGGCCTGGCAGTCTGGGTGGAGCGGCCGGCACAGGTATCCAGGTTGTACACGACAAAAGGGCATCTGAGGGAAAACCTGCAGGTGGTAGAAATGGTCATTATTTTGAAAGTATTTTTACGTGTGTTAATTCCAGAGATGGCAACTTACATGTGTGTTACAACACGGTTTCCAGCAGATGACTGAAACATTTCTTGTCCTAACAAAAGCAGCCCGACAACTTTTGATGGAAGCTAAGTATCTTGTGTGCAAAGGTGATATACCTCATTCTGGTCAGAATTACAAAGGGGAGCCAGTTTCATATTTGAGACCCTCTATCAGTCTAGCAACAGCTCACATAAACTGTACATTCTAAATAGTAGCTATCTTTCTGTCTGATATAAAATACTTCTTTTAAATTAAAAATTTCCCTACTGGATTAGTATGCTGGCTACATTAGATGGTGCAGGAGCAGGGCGTTCATCAAAGTATTATTTCCTATTTAAATTTAATACGCACTTCACTATGACAAGAATCCCTATGTAATTGTTTATTTACCATCAACAATACATAAAGTAAATATTACATTGCCACATGCGGCTTTTGTTCTTTCGGAAGTTTTCTCGGTGCAAAGATTAAGTACTGTTAAAATGTTGTGGCTTGTTACAGCAAAGTATTTTAAAATGTTAAACATTCTAGCAGAAAAGTTAACAATGTTACAAAACGACTGTCAAACCTAGTGACCATTTCCAAAGAAAATGAGCTACAGGAGAAAGAAGAGTGAGACTCTTACAAAGAATAGTTTCTATGAAAGCAAAACATGTCATTATTTTTAAATAAAGTAGGATACCTTGGAAAATGTGAATGGTTAGGACCTCAAAAACACTCTTAACTTTATGTTCAGCAGTAAGAATTGCACAGTTTATATAGACCAGATTTATATTTGCTGTACTGTCACTGAGAAATATGTATGCTGGTATGGAATTGTTTTCCATGAGTAAGAAGAGCCTTGTCCTAATTTTTGCACAAGTGCCAGATGTGCTAGAGACAGCTGTGCATATGGTGCGTGGTGACGGTGAGCTGACAGCGCACAGGCTGTGCCTGATACGGTCAGAGCACTGCTGTGTGAGGACGGCTTGCTTCTCCACAGCAGGACAGAGCGGCAGGATCCCTCCGCGCTGTCACTCCCGCTCACTCGCTTTCTGATGGGCTTTCCTGGGAGGCACCCGCGGTCTGCAGCCCAGCTCGTCCTGGGGTGGCGTTGCCCACTGCAAGAGCCACGAGCAGGCAAAACTCTTCACTTCCTCCCAACCACCTTTACCTGTGCTGGGATCCAGGTCGCACTCACAGGATGGCCTTACTCACATGAGTGTAAGTTAACGTGTGTCTGACTGGAAAAAAGACCAGTAACTTCAGACGTTCTTGAACACCCTCATCTTACAAATGAGGAAAATAAAAATCGTTATTTTTAGAATAAAGAATTTGGGAAGCCTTAGAAACAATTTTCCTCTGCTCAGGTCTCAGTTTATAACGACCGCCACAGTGGTGATGCCCATTACCGAATGCCAAGCACCGGCCGGATGCTGTCCTGCCAGCCAGCTCACTGACAGGGTTCAAGCAATTAGGCATAAAATCTCTAATTCACACAGGGAAAAACGGAGGCTCTGAGAAGTTTAGTGGCAGCGTGGATTTACAAATCCAGGTCTTTCTTTCTGTCCAGAGCATGTGCCCCTCCATTATGTCTTGTTGCCTATAACCAAACAAGGACACTCTTTTAAAATGTCAGGCAGCATCCTGGAACCGTGGACAGATCCCGGGGAGTGAGTGGGAGGGGCCATGCTATCTCGGACACTGGATGCCAGGTTTACAGGAGGGACTACAGTGGACCACCTCCTCTCCCAAAGAGGAAAGGGGTCAGGTGGGAACTGAAACACCAACTTGACCTTCACCTCTTTCGCTTCTTAGCTGCGGCTTCTTTCTGTCTGAGTCACTGCTGCTGCTGTTCTTACTGGCCCCTAACAGTGTCTGTCGGTACCAGTAATTGCCTGAGAGAAGGCCAGAACGTTCTCTCTGAAGCTCCTTAGGTGTGAGCAGCTCGACTAGTTCAGTACTGTGCTGCCTCAGTGATTCCTGGGTTCTAATGAGAACGTACATTTAAATGGACATGCTTAGTTGCTTGAATTATTTTTAGAAAATTATTAGTGAATTTTCCCAGTCCCTTATTTCTAAATCAAAATTTCCTACTGTGGCATTAAAAAAAAAAAACTCTTTGTAAGTATCTTTCATGGAAATATTTACCTGGTGCATTTATCAAAGCCACAGAATTTAAAAGATACAGCGGATCTGTAGCCTGCACAATGCAGACTCTTTTTTGGGAATTCTTAATAAAGATCAGATGTGCAGAGAAGGAGCCAAGCTTTTAAGAACTGCCAAGATCCAGACATGTCCGGTCACCCTCAAGCTTACCCTGAACTCAGATAGGCCTGCGGGCCGCACCGCTTCTCCCACCTTCTCACACATGGCTGCCATTGGGGCTACTTGCCCTTATTTCCAAGTATTATCACTCCATTAGCACAACCTTCTGATAAGAAGCACTGAGAGTCTGAATGAGGGGACAGACCCCACATCAGTGGCTTTGAGATGGTTAATCGACTATGGGCGTGACCTCCTACAGATGAGAGATGCAACTGCACTGCATCGATTCTACAAAAATCTCTTCTAGGAATAAACTGTAAAAGAGTTAAACTTCCTTTACAAGACTGAATTGGAATGGATTTACAGACTTGGAATTTTTACAGCCTGTGGGTTGCAGTTGATTGCTTTATGACTAATCCTTCTTGGGGGAAAAAAGACAACGTGTTTAGCCTGTGAAGCTGAAATGCCTTCCTAAGTCTTGCTTAATACAGAGGATAAAATAAAGCACAATGTTTAAAAAAGAGAGAATAAACTACATCGGGTAGATACTCACAGAGAAACTGATCTCAAATACATAATACATTTTTAAACATAAAACAGCTACTAAATGTCGAACACTAGCTTTTACTAATAAGATTGTACTATTAATCTCATTGATATTTATCATAATCCATTATAAAACGAACCTCAAAGAAAATTTTAAAATTAGAAGTAAATGTATTTCATGAAACCAGAAAAAAAACGGTCCCCTATTTCATATTAAAAATAGTTTCAGACAAATCATAAAACTACGACTTTTTACCTAGTCTGTCCTAGAAAATACTGTTGACAAACTGAAACTATCTATTCACATGAATTTTTAAATGGTTGCAGAATGTACTAGAAATATAAAGTGCTCCGTATGGAAACTCTGAATGGCTCCCCAAATTCCATCTACTAAGTACTAAGCAAATTCTCAGAAATTACTTCCGTCAGAATGAAAGTGCATGGAGTTCAAGTAATAACGTCTACCTGGACGGCAGCTGGTGTGAGCTGCGCCTGGCAGCTGCCTCCCGGCTCTGTGCGCAGCACCCGCAGATGCCAGCGGAGAAGGTGCCCCTTACCTTTCGCTGTTCTTTTTGCCGCTGGAGGAACTGCTGGTGGATCCCGTACGATTCCGGTTCCCTTTGGAATCCCCGTAGCTTTCCCGCCGACCACCGGGAGACACTCGTTCAGAAGAGCTGGTCCTCTTGATGGTACTAAAAGTGAGATGTAAATGACAATGAAATCCTCAACATAGGGATTTTATTTTATTGCTGAGAGTAGAAGTATATACACACAAAAATCCCATTTCCATGTGGCTATTTAAATGATAGACTGGTTCTGAACTCCTAGCTTCAGAGATCAGAAGACTTTTCAGAATGTCACTTGGAATCAGTGCCTCTGCTCACCGCCTTTGTCACTGTGGCAATTAGTGCAAAGTCCCAGGGGAAAGTGAAAGGAAAGCTCCCCAAAAGTGCTGTGTGAGAGCATTCCAGGCTCTGAGGGGGACGTGACCTCAGCCTGGGCAGACGCAGTCTAGGCCGGTGGTGCCCAGCCAGGGGGGACACTTGGCAATGTCTGCAGGCATTCTGGGTTGTCATAACTTGGGGAAAGGGTTGCTACTGGCATCCAATGGGTCACCTTACGATGCCCAGGACAGCCCCACAAAAATGATACGGCCCCAAACATCGATAGTGCTGACACTGAAGAGCTCTAGTCTAAAGGCACATGTGGGTCAAAGACAAACTGGATGCCACAGGTAATGACAGAAACGCCCCACCACCTGGGTCAGATGCCTTTGTTCAGAGGTGGCCTGTGCAAGCACCTACTTCCTTCTGTATAACCCGAGGGGCCAGAGTGCTTGGAGGCCTGGTGAGGGATGCCTGGGAGGACTTCCTGAAGATGGTGAATGTCGAAGACAGGAAATGAAGGCTTGACTGTGTTGTAACTACACAGGAGGAAAGAGCCTGTCCTGGGAAACAGGATACACTCGGTGCTGTGTACACAGGTAACTCACAGGCAGGAGGGTAACCGCAGGTGCAGGGGCTTCCCTCCTGGGGCACGTAGTGCGTTCTAGGAGTCCCTGTGGTTTTTATCTGCATCCTTATGCCATGTGTTTCTTGAGATCCTGTCTCACCTAGCATTTGGGTGCAAATGCATTCAGGCAGAGCCAGTACAGAAGCTTGATAAATATGTTAGATGAAAGAATGAGATAAACCAATAAATAAATGTCACACTCTGACCCTGTCACGGGAAGAGCCTCGGTGCTTTAATTTGGCATCTGCTCTGTAAGAAAGAAGGCAAGAGAGTGCTGGCATGCCCTGCGGGGGCAGGGCCGCAGAAGGGGGCGGATGCGGGGGTCTCGCCCGGAGCACAGAGTGCAGGTGTGGGTGGGCAGTGCAGGTGTGGGTGGGCAGCCGGACAAGTCTGCACCCTGTTGGGTGGCTCACAGCAGGCCCTGCCCAGGTGGCGGTCAGCAGACCGCGGCGTGGAGGGATGACCTTGTGAGGAAGGAGAGAAGACCAGCGTGCAAAGCCTTTCCAGGGAAAGTCGCATCTCTGAAGGCATTGGTAGGGGGACAGCCAGGGAGTCTGGGGAGGTAGAGAAACCCGGCATGTGGGGGGCAGTTAGGCCCAGGAGAGCCAGGCAGAGGACCGAGGGTGCAGGAGGCCTGGAGAGGGGGCAGGGGAGAGGCGGGCACCGCCAGGGACAGTCTCAGGGGCTCCAGTGAGTGCAGCCCCAGGGGAGGGGAAGCCAGAGCCCCTTTTTAACCAGGGGTACATGGGGGCAGCAAGACTAATGCTCCCTGCTGACTTTGAGAGCTCTCACTCCCCCCTAATGAAATTCCGCCCAGCAGGCCCCTGCTGTCTGCTCCTTCCAGTGTCACGGCTTCCTTTCCCTGCTGTCTTCCCCCTCCTTTTGGGCTAACTTTCAGGCCTTTCCCCTTTGTAACTTTCAGGCCTTTCCCCTTTGTAACTTCCAATGGTTCAGCAGATAATCTCTGAGCAAATTAAAAAAAACTGCATGGTGCATCAGCATTGGCAAAACCATCCCACTCTCCGAGTGAGCAAGCATACAGTGACCATAATCATGCTGATGGGAATACATTTCTGCAGAGACTTCTTGGTAACCGAAGCTTTGAGTTTACAGCACCAGAATTTTACAGCTGGCTTCTACATGGGCATGCCTTAAGGTCAAAATGTGAATTTTCAGAATGCTCAATTTGGGAACAAGGAAATTACAGATCTTAGGAGAACATTACATTTCTGAAATTTGGAACTTAAGTCTAAAAACTATAGAAACTTTTGCACTCAAAGTTCAAGAGCTTCCAATGATGAAAACACCAAGCTAATTTCACATAGCAGGATGTCTCTGCCAAGCATCCAGACCAAGGCGCTGGGGCATTCTGCCCAGCAGCTGGGGGCCCAGAGCGTGGCCTCTACAGTGTCCTTGTGGGAGTTCACCGCAAGTTCAAGGCAATTTAAAGACTTGCATAAGGCACCCTTTAAGAGCTGAAAAACCATTTCTATTAATCAATTTTAGCAAACATTAACCAATTTCCTAATAATTAACACTCAACCTGGTGGCTAAAAGAGTTGATAGGGGATACATCAGTCGTGGGACAGCAGCACAGCAACAGGTCACAAATCTGTGTTAAGAATTTTACATTTTACATAGATTATTTAAGTCTCATCAGTCCCCTGCAGAACTCTCATTATCCTCATTTTACAGACCAGGAAACAAATTCAGAGAGAAAGTGACTTGCCTGAGGTAACTTAACCCCTAGCTCCAACTACTGGGCTTCCTAATTGAGCGTCTGCAATTTGTGAGACACTAAAACATACTAGTTTTGAGGACCTGCTGAAGATCTAGAAGTCCAACAAACATCAATAATTAATACAGTTATGTGATTTGAGGCTTGATCAATGGGATGCACTGAAGAAAGCCTCTAAGCTATTGTGTTAAAAGGGAGGTAAAACCATGGGAGAAGCAGCTATGGTTACTAAATAAATCCAAGTGCCCTCACCTGGGTGTTGCTCTATTCAGTTCGCATGCACTGAGAAGGTTCACAGACCTGTTTCATCTACACAGAAGGGCACAGAAACAAAGCAGCACAAACGGGAGCATGATAATATAAGTACCGGAGAACACTTTGGTGAGCTTCAGTCAACCACAGAACACTTCGCACACCAAAATGGAAAAACATTGTTGTTTGCATGTACAGACTTGGATATAATCCATCACAGCTCTTTCAAGATATCATTCACACATTTGCATTAAAATGTTAAGCTTTTAAAAAAATCTACTATTGTTGTATACACAGAATGAGCAAGACATTTTCCATTGAGAGCCAAGAGCTCTTATGAATTAAAGAGGATTTACTGGGACTCAAAGTGAAGGACAGAAAATAAAGCCTGAAGAGAAGACATTCTCCGGAGCAGGGGCCGTCAGAGGGTGTGGAGCTGTAGCCCTCACTGTGAGAATGAGAAGCCTCCTTAAACCACCAGTGGGGACTATCAAAGAAGTGACGGCCCCGCCAAACAGAAAGCAGAAAATAATGCTCCTTATTGTAAAGTAAAGCTTGTAAGAGATGCGCGATAGCTCCCTCTTCTACCCGCCATTCCCAAACCAAACACCTTCTAAGTTGTGAAAATATTACGGTTCTTTACATTGCATTACTTAGGCATTCAATGGGTTTTGCCAATTTAACTTTAGGACATAATAAAATTTCTGGAATGAAGATGGGTGACCAGAAGTGACCATCTTCCTTCCTGTGGTTGGATAGTAACTCTAAGCATTATAAGCTACAGTTACGTCTTTCTTTCATTATGGATTAGAATCAAGAACCGGCTTTCCAAAATTCAGCACGAAGGGCCCAAACACAACTGGACAAACAGACATCTGACAGGTAGCTCTGAGGCACGACCAGACGGTGATGCCATTTGCAACGGCAGCTGGAGTGATGAACACTGGATTAAAACAATTATCCCCTCAACAAATACTTATTAGGCACTGACTGAACACTGGATGCCGTGATGGGCGCTGGTGAGTCAACGAGCGACCAGGGCCAACCTGACATTTGTCCTGACATCATGAGATAATTCTGACAGGCTGAGATCCCTCACTTCGATATTTAAGAAGTATTCCTACCTTCCAGTGTCTAAAGACATAGCTTTGTAGCAGAAACCAAGTCATCTCCTAATGAATCTGACAGATCACACATGAAGCCAACTACCTGAGCCCATCAGCTACGCATCACTTCCACCAGACGGGCAGGTGCCAACTCATCGCCCCCTGCTCAAGAGCAGGGCACTTCCATCTCTGTTTTGCATGAATCTAACACCTAGGTTTCAGTGGCTATGAATGATAAAGAAATAAATTGGAGATAATTTTTAAAATGCTAAATCAGATTTTGTTTCTCTACTCTTGAAACTGTGTTAGGTATCACACACTGACTGGTGCATTTACAAATGTTGTCTTTCTAACAAGTGTAACTATTTTCCTGGAGGACTGCCAGCTGTCTTTTTGGAAGCAAGAGATGTTTACCATCCTATCTTACACCTGGAACACAGCATTTTTTTCAACAATGCTCTCTTTTTGTACCAGTTTTGTTCTTTTGATCTCTCTTCTCACAGCTCTACCCTATTGTAAAATCCTATTCAGGAGCAGAAAGAATGAGTGATTGTCTCTGTTTTGAGCCAGTGGAAATCTATCCTATTGTCAGCTTTGGCATCCCCACTGAGCAAGGTATGACCTACAATGTCTTCCCCGGATTTTCTGCCTTTTTTCCCCTGACTAATGGAAACAAAGCTTTTCCCAAGGATTCCAAATCAAGCCCCCAATCAAAGTCTTAATTGGCAACACAAAGCACAACCGCTGGGTGTTGGCATATTTCCAAAGGGGATTTTGTTCCTAAGCACCAGGCAGAAAACACTCCAGAGACAAGAAAACAAACATATACCCATCCATACACCACAGATGCCCCATCTCAGCTCATTTGGAACTCTGACTATGGAAAAATTCCTACATGATTGTAAACGTATTTGAAATGGCTTAGAAGTTGTTTTAATCCTAATATTCGGAATGCCCAGCTTGCTTCTTTCTTATTCAGAATTCTCTCTTAATGAGAGGTCTGCATGGACTTTACCATGGAATAACAATTCGAAGCTACTGTTTAGATTTCCAACTTTCAAATGGATGGGAACTCCCATCCATG